GGAGCAGCCACTGCACTCCAGTCTGGGCGACAGAGTAAGACTCCAACTTAAAAAAAAAAAAAAATGCCAGCCTTTAAAATAATCATAAGGACTATGTAAACATACAGATTCCAAGTAGGCAGCTTAAACTGTGATGTAGGTGGTTGCATAGCGGGTCTGTATACCCCAAAGCAAGACCTCATTTTCTGGCGTGTCCAACCTTCTTCCTTACAGACCCCTCAGACATTACCAGATGCTGATAGATATCCCTGAAACGTTATTCCTTTCCTTCTAAATGGCTCTCATCTATTTGCTAATCATTACACCTCCATACTTTGTTATAAAATAATCTACTACAATATTTTAAGATCATTAGCATTCCTTTGTTAAACAGTCAACTTATGTTAAAGAAAACGTTTATCCAAACATAAAGGAGAGTATTCTTAATAGAGACAGGATATATTCACAGAAAATTAGAATGTCTTCCATAAAAGTTGCTAAAAATATGATAAACAAGATTCTCTCCTATTTGGTTTCTCAAGCATCTAATTATAATTCTAAATGCCAAGGCTGAAAATATTTCCTTCAAAGGAGAAAATATTGTCATTTATTTTAAAAATTCAATTCATGTAGATAATCTTTAATATGCTAATTAAAATGATTTTTAAAAATCAATAAATTTAACCTTAAACTACAAGGGAAGTCTATGGTGCTTTTTTCTAGGTAGCACCATATATGTGAGCACATACAATTTAATTAGTTTTCTTTCCTTTTTATTATACACTATTTAAAATTCTCAAAAAGAAACTGTGTTATTAAAACTTTCTTAACAGCCAAGCTTAACCCCAAAATGCCAGAAACCTACAAAACAGTTTGCCTGTTATTAAGACAGTTTTCAAAGCTTTATCTTATTTTGAGCTTCTTGTCACTCTTAACCAAAACAGTCTGGTGTTCATTATAAAGTCTCTACTCCACCACACATACCAGGATCGTCTTTTTTTTTTTTTTTTAGTTGGAGTCTCACTCTGTTGTTGCCCAGGTTGGAGTGGCATACTCATGGCCACCCCAGCGTCGACCTGCTGGACTCCGGCAATCCATCCGCCACAGTCTTCCAAGTAGCTGGAACTACAGGTGCGTGCTACCACGTCTGGGTAATTTTTGATTTATTGTAGGGACAAGGTCTTGCCAAGTTGCCCAGGCTGGTTTCAAACCCGTGGGCTCAGCAATCCACTCGCCTTGGCCTCCCCAAGTGTTGGGATTTTAGGTCAAGCCGCCGCGCCACCAAGCCCGGTCGACCAAGATCATCTTTTCTTTTAACCTTTTTATTGAAAAATAATTGCAGATTCACAGCAAGTTGCAAAGATAGTAGACAAGGTTGGTATTTCCCCAACAGTTACATCTTACATAATCACAGTAGAATTTGCTAATTCGTTTGTTTTTTTGGGGTTTTTTTTGAGTTGGAGTCTCACTCTGTCGCCCAGACTGGAGTGCAGTGGCTGTTCCCGGCCACCGCAGCCTCGACCTGCTGGACTCCGGCGATCCTTCCACCTCAGCCTTCCAAGTAGCTGGAACTACAGGTGCGCACTACCACGCCCGGCTAATTTTTTGATTTATTGTAGAGATGAGGTCTCGCCAAGTTGTCCAGGTGGGTCTCGAACCCACGGGCTCAGGCAATAATTTGTTTGTTAATTTTACTAAACCAGCAAACTCACATTGGGACAACCTGTGTGTGTAGCTATTACTGTCACATATGCAAACTCCTACCAACCCCAATGTCATTAAGATGCAGAACGTTCCCTGCACCACAAAGACTGCATCTTTTCTACCTGTAAATCAACTCAAACCTCCAGTACCACCCCAACTCCTGATAACCAATAACTAATAATCTGCAGCCATCTCTATAATTTTGTTATTTAGAGAATGTTACATACATAAGATCACAGAGAATGTGCCTTTTTGAGATTTCTTCCCCACTCAGCTTCATGCTCAAGATCCATCCAATCTGCTGCACACAGCAATAGCTATTTCCTTTTTATTGCTAGGTATTGTTCACAATATGGATGTTTAACAATATCATTGTTTAACTATTCACCTATAACAAAAAATGTTGTTCTTTTCTTTTCTTTTTTTTTTTTTGAGTCGGAGTCTCCTTTTGTCACCCGGAATGGAATGCAGTGGCAGGCTCACAACTACCACAGCCTCGACCTGCTGGGCTCAGGCGATCTTCCAAGTAGAAGGAACCACAGGCACACACCACCATGACCGGCTAATTTTTACTATTACAAATAAAGATGCTCTGAACAATAATGTATATTGTTTTGTGTAAACCTAAATTTTCATTTCTTTTGGATGAAGAGCCCAGGAATGAGACTGCTGGGTCATACGGTAAATGCATGTTTAGTTTAAAAAAAAAAAAATCTTACTGATACATAATTCACACACCATATGTCACCTATTTAAAGTGTACAATTCAGTGATATTCAGAATAGTCAGAGTTGTGCAATCATTACCACAATATACTTTATGACATTTTAATCACCCCAAAAAGAAGCCCCATATCCATTAGCAGTCACTTCCCAGTTCCCCCACAAGCCTCACAATCAGTCCTAAGTAACCACTAATCGACTTTCTCTACATAGTAAGTCCCATACATATGAACCTTCAATTTGCACACTTTTAAGAATGTAAACATGCATTCACATGTGCAATCACTTAAGTTAGTTCATGTGTCTGGTTTACATTGTGACGTGTGTGCAAGGTATTGACTATACTGTAAGATCAAAAATATTTTTTATGTATTATTATTTGAGAAGTATTATAACCCTAATAGTGTACAGTACTATATAGCCAATCATGTTAGTTTGATACCTAAGCTAACTCTGTTGGATTGATGAACAAATTGGATTTATCAACACACTCT